TAACCACTCTGCCTGCCTGATCGCCCCTAACCACTCGCCTGCCTGCCTGCCTGATCGCCCCTAACCACTCGCCTGCCTGCCTGATCGCCCCTAACCACTCTGCCTGCCTGATCGCCCCTAACCACTCTGCCTGCCTGATCGCCCCTAACCCCTCTGCCTGCCTGATCACCCCTAACCACTCTGCCTGCCTGATCACCCCTAACCACCTCTGCCTCCCTGATCACCCCTAACCCCTCTGCCTGATCGCCCCTAACCACTCGCCTGCCTGCCTGATCGCCCCTAACCACTCTGCCTTGGCCTCCGCCCCATGGCAGCCGCCTCTGCCTCAGTCCCCACTGCCGCAGCTTCATCTGGAAGGTCATCTGGAAGGACTTCTGGAATGATGTCTTTGCACGCTTCATCCGGTCTAATTGGCATACTATGCTTTATTATTATAGATATGTAGATATATATTTTATTGATTTCTGAGTGGAAGGAAGAGGGAGAGAGGTAGAAACACCAATGATGAGAATCATGGATCTGCCTGCCTCCCGCACGCCCCATATTTGGGTTCAACCCCCAACCCAGGCCTGTGCCCTTGACCAGGAATCGAACCCTGACCTCCTGGTTCACAGGTCGACGCTTAACCACTGGGCCACGCTGGCCGGACACAATAAGACTGACTTTTAACTCATGTTCAAGGAGAAGCACTGTGTGAAAAACACAGAAACTGGCCATGAGTGGCCTCATGTGCAGTTTGGGTCAAATTCGGGAGTTCTTACGAACGCGTCCGGGGATGCAGAGGCCCCAGCCGCGAATGTACAGCACAAGCTTGAGCTTGAGGGTGGCCTCTCTCCCTCCCTCCCCCCGCCATCCCCCTCACCCGACCACACCCTTCCTCCCCCCCCCCCCCCCCCGGGCTCCCCAAACACCTGGCCTCTCGCCCGCAGACACCTCTTCACAGGCGAGGCCACGTCCCGGCTGAGTGCACTCCCCACAAACCCTCGAGCCAGGCTGACCTGGGGCCTCGCACATCTTAACTGTTTGCTTGCTTTTCCTTGGCGGCTTAGCTCCCTTTTGCCAAAACAAACAGCTCCCAATTACCGCTGGGCGCAGCCTCCCTGTCTAGCGGCAGCCTCGCCACCCCAGGGACACCACGAATACCTCTCTAGGGCCCGGGGGCACCCGAGGCTGCCAGCACCTGCATGTAGCTTCCCGAGGTCCCACCCGCCTCTCCCTGTCCTGGTAAAGAAGCTGCACCGTCTCCCTTCCGTGCAGGCCAAGCAATTTTATTTTTCAATCTCTATCGTTGAAAGTCTGTTTTTGGCCGAAACCGGTTTGGCTCAGTGGATAGAGCGTCGGCCTGCGGACTGAAAGGTCCCAGGTTCGATTCCGGTCAAGGGCATGTACCTTGGTTGCGGGCACATCCCCAGTGGGGAGTGTGCAGGAGGCAGCTGGTCGATGTTTCTCTCTCATCGATGTTTCTAACTCTCTATCTCTCTCCTTTCCTCTCTGTAAAAACTCAATAAAATATATTAAAAAAAAAAAAAAAAAAAAAAGAAAGTCTGTTTTTGTTCATCAGTTTACGTTGTTACTTAGATTCCACGCAGGAGTGAGGTCGTGGGGTGCGTGTCTTTCTCCGACCGGCTCGTTTCGCTCAGCGTGATACCCTCCAGGTCCCGCCGTGCTGTGGCGAACGGTAAGAGTTCTTCCTTTTTCACGGCTGCGTAGTATTCCACGGTGTCGCTGGACCACGGCGTTTTGGCCGCTGGGGGCAGGCAGAGCTCTGGAGCCGCCTTTGAGGAAGCAGAGGCCGGGAAGGAGCAAGTGGCGGGCGTGCCAGTCCACACTGGGGTGGCCCTCCCCCCAGGTCCGAGGCTCAGCTGGCCGCTGTCACCCCCGTGGTCTCCACGGCGACCCCCCAGCCTGCACAGGGCAGGGAGTCCCTCTCCAGCGAAAGGAGAGTCGCCTTAACAGGGACGGGCTGTCTTCCGCAAGATCTCGCCCTTTTCCCTCTCCTTTCACCTTCTAGGGCCGTGGTCGGCAAACCGCGGCTCGCGAGCCACATGCGGCTCTTTGGCCCCTTGAGTGTGGCTCTTCCTAAGCCTTGGGAGCACCCTCATTCAGTGAATAACAATGTACCTGCCTATATAGTTTAAGTTCAAAAAAGTTGGCTCTCCAAAGAAATGTCAGTCGTGGTGCTGTTGATATTTGGCTCTGTTGACGAATGAGTTTGCCGACCGCTGTTCTAGTGGTTTGAGGAAATGGCATAGAGCCGGTCGGTGGCATGTGGGCCCAGGTCAGTGCCATGTGGGCCCAGGTCCGTGCCACGGGAGCTCACGTGAGCATCATAGGCTGGCACATGATGAGCGGCGCCATGCAGAGCCACCATGCCAGTGGGCCGGCCCTGTCCCCGAACTCTGCGCCCCAGACGTACAGCACCCACTACGCCAGCTCCGCCGGCATTAACCAGTGCCGTGGCCCGTGCTCAGCAGGGCACCTGCGCCCGGGGCTCGGGCTCCATCCCCCCCAGATTGAGGCCCTCAGTGGCTTCCCCTCTGAGTCTGGTATGTGAAGTCAGGTGGGTGTTGGAGCCTCAGGTCACATGGCGCCCGATCGCCTTCCCAGGCACGGCTCCTGGCTCCCCGCTCCCTGGCGCCCCCGGCACCCCAGGCCTCGCCCAACCTCTCCCTGCTCAGGCCTCCACGCCCCAGGTCTCTGTCACCCTCTGCCGCCTGCAGGGACCTGGGCGCGGTGCCTGGAGGGCCTGGGCGGGCAATGCCCACGCTGATGGTTCCCAGAATATAGCGCTTGCTGTCCTCACCCCCCGCCCCCGCCCCCGCCCGCTGCCAGCACCTGCTGTGTTTGGTGGGTGGCCAGTCATTGGCGTCCGAGTGTTCCCGGGAACTGGCCTCTCGCCCATCCTCATGCCCGCAGGCAGCTGCACCAGGGAGGGGCTGGGGGCTCGATTCCCCAAGGGGGGGGGGGGCGTGCAGGAGGCAGCGGGTCCATGATGCTCTCTCCTCATGGATGTCTCTCTCTCTCTCCCTCTCCCTTCCGCTCTGAAATCTATAAAACTTTTTTTTAAAAGAAAAGGGGGGGAGCAGGAAAGCGTGACGATGTGCAAGCAGCGTGTGCCGGTGCCATGCGGGTAAGTGGGCCGGGATACAGGTGCGGGCACCGAGCCCTGCCTGCCTGCCCCGCGGGCAGCTAATTAAAATGTGATCAGGATTCCCGGGCGCTGCGCGCGCGCTGTCAGCAGTTTCTCTTCCGAGGGAAACCCCGCCAACAGCCCACAAGGGGAGCCTTTCAGGGCGCTGCCCTGGTTTCACCGGCGGCGGCTCCGGGCGCTGAAACTGGAGAACAAACGCGCTGCGGCCGCTGGCGGCTCCGCACAAAGAAGCAGCAAGAGAGAAAAGGAGACTGTTTCTTCCCGGGGAGGGAGCGCGCGGCCCTGTTTTGTGGCGTTTTTTGTTTTTTTGTTTTTTTTTTCTGTGGTTGAAACAGCAGCGTGGGTGACCCTCCGGGCGGGCGGGCGGGCGGGGCGGGGTCGGAGCCAGGTTGGTGGCGGGGGAGGCGCCTCCTCCAGGAAGCCCTCCAGGAATGCCGCCGCCGCGGGAGAGGGGGCCTCGGTCATCCCTCCCCCACATCCAGGGGGACCGCTACGTGTTGCTTCTTGGAGAAGAAACAGAGCCGCACACTCCGGCAAATTCCTAAAATCCTACAGGGAATTTCCACCCGGAGTGGATTTTTTCCTCCTTTTTAAAGAAATTTTATTGTTGATTTTTAGGGAGAGTGGAAGGGAGGGGAGGAAACACAGGGAGAGAGAAACGCCGACGACGTGAGAGAGAGACATTGATTGACTGCCTCCCGCAGGCGCCCCGACCAGGGCTGGGGTTGGAGCCGCAAACCCGCGAAAGTGCCCTTGACGGGATTCGAACCCCGGACGCTTCCGTCTGCAGGCGCGCGCTGAGCCACCCTGGCTGGGGCCAGCCTGTATCTTCAGGGCAGAGGCCTCCCACCCCCACCCCCGCCTCTGCCCGGCTCCTCCCGGCCTCCGCGGGCGAGAAGCCGGACCCGACAACAGGTGGGAAGGTGAGGGCGGGGGCGGGGGCGAGGGCAGATGGAGGCCATGGGCGCAGGAGAGCAAGGGCTCAGAGAGCGCACGCTCGGGGCCCTGGGGCGGGCAGCTGCGCGGTGCGCCTCCGCCCAGCCCCTCGCGGCGGCCGTGCGCCCCCGCACCCGGCGCCAGGGTCCCCATTGGGGTCCCGCGACTGTGCCCAGCGCGCTTTCCCCTGCACCTGCCCCCCAGACACTCACACACGCTCCGCACCCTCGGGGGTGGGCGGATAATGACGGCCCCCGGATCTGCTGGGAGCATCCGCACGCCGCCCCTCTGGCCCCGCGTCCCCTCCATCTCTTCCGAATTCACTGACAAGACCCCGAAGCGTTGGGGCTCGGAACGGGGGCGCGCGCACCACCACGCCCGGCCCCACGCGCCTCGGCCGGGGTGCCCTCCCCGAGGCTTCAAGCATCGGCCCGCCGGCACCTGCGGCGCCGGGCACGTCTCGCGGGTCCTGGGCGCGCCCCCCGCCTCCCGCCTCGCTCGCTGCGCCCACGGCGCCGACGCCCCCCCGCCCCCCCAGCACCCGGCCCCGCCTCGCCACCAGCGCCGGGTCCGCGCGCGCCGCAGTCCCGGGAAACTACCGACCCCACACGCCCACCGTCGGAATCTGCCGGGCTGCGCTCCCTCCGCAAAGACAGCGCCCGCGGTTGGCCGCCGGGGGAAGGCAGCTGGGGAGGCGGGCTGCAGCCCGGCTTCTCTTTCCCGCGGCGGGAGGCGGCTGGAAAGAGGGTCCGAGCCCCCGGGCTGCAAGTCCAGGCGGAGGGACAGCGGACCTGCCGGCCGCGCTGGCGAGAAGTTGGGCGCCGAGGCCGAGGCGCGCGCCCCCGTGCGCCCCCCGTGCGCCCCCGTGCGTCCCCGCGCGCCCGCAGCGGCGGAGGCCGGCGCGTCTCCGTACCTGGAAGAGCTGGAAGAAGGCGGAGAGGCGCGTGAGCTGCAGGCTGAGGCACCGGGAGGCGCAGCGGGCGCGCGGGACGCTCCCGGCTGACCACGACTCGTCCAGCCGCCGCGCCGCCGCCCCCGGGCCGGCCGCCAGGCTGCGCCCGCAGGCCGCCAGCCAGAGGCAGAGGGTCAGCGCCGCGCCGGGCGCCCGGGGCACCATGGCTGCGGTGGGGCGCGGGGCCGAGGCTCCCAGCTCCGCCGGGGACCGCGCGGCGCTGCGACTCGGCTGCAAAGTTCAATCATTCAACTCCAGCCCCGGCGCTCCCCGCCCGCCTCCCGCCCCGCGCGGCCTCGGGGGCGGGGAGGTGGTGACAGACGCCGCGCCATTGGCTGGGAGGAGAGTGAGTGACAGGAGGGGCCGGGAGGTGGGCGGGTCTAAGGGCTGCCAGCCTGGGCGCGCGCAAAGGGTGGGCGATGGTGATGGGTGCCCAGCGCGCACTCGTCTCCGGGGGGCTCGGCCTCCCACGCAGGCTACCCCACCCGCCGCGCTCGCTCCTTCCTGCCCCGCCATCCAGGTCAACGTCAGGTGTGGACACGCCCGGGCCTGGGCCGGGAGCTGCGGCCTCGGGAAGGGGGGTTAGGGGCCCCACTGCGTCCGTCCACACCTTGCGCGTCTGGCTTTGCCTCCCCAGGTGGTGGGCACGGGCTGAGCCAGGCTGGAAAGGGTCCAGGTTTTCTTCCTTCCTCCCTCCCGCACCCTTCCTTCTCCCCTCCCTTCATCCCTCCCTCCTGCTTCCTTCTCCCCCCCCCCCCCGCCCTGCTCTCTCCTTCCCCCTCCTTCCCTCCCTCCTTGCCTGCCTTCGCCCCCCTCCTTCCCTTATGATTACCTGGAAAGGGGCCTGAGTACACAGCCCGTGGCGTGCGCTAAGTGGGCCCACACCTGCTTCCCCAGGTGTGGTTTCTAGAAGCGCCGCTCGCCCATGGGAGCGAGTTATTCACACCAGGAATCTGTCCGCAGCCCCCTCTTCCCCTGGCACCTGCCCCGCGCCCCTCCATTCTGCCTTTCAGCAGTGAAACGGCTGCCAACGTCTGTTGGGATCTTCCCCGAAGCTTGTTCGCCACGCATGTCCCCCCTGCAGACAGGGCCGTGCAGGAGACGGGCCAGGGGCATGTGTAACACGTCCCCCCTGGGCACCGTCTCCCCTCCACCCAGCTCCGCGGGCAGTGGCACTGCTGAGCCCTGGCAGGCCAGGCGCAGGCCCAGGGGGAGCAGGAGGTGAGCCTGGAGGCCGGACCTGGGCCTGGGGTGTTTATGCAGCACAATCGAGCTAACAAGATGGATGCTCCCCGCCCCGCACCCCCATAGTCCATGTGGAACAACTGACCCAAGTCTCCCCATTCCCAACCAGAAGGGCTTCCAGGTTCCAAGCCCAGGGACCCCGTGAACACCCAGCAGGCACCCAGCCTCATGGGGGACACACCTCCCAGGGCCTCCGTGGGCCAGCCAGGGCCCAGCGCACCCAGTCTCATGGGGGACACACCTCCCAGGGCCTCCGTGGGCACAGCCAGGGCCCAGGGCACCCAGCCTCATGGGGGACACACCTCCCAGGGCCTCCGTGGGCACAGCCAGGGCCCCGGGCACCCAGCCTGCTCATGGACACAGCACTGAGTTCAGGCCTCTTTGTGCAGTGCGTGGGGTTTGTTTGCAAGTTGCAGTGTGCAATCCTTTCCCCACTCCACACCACCTGCAGCTACTGCCTTACACCCAAGAGCCTGCCGCCAGCTCACCAGCTTACCCGTCCGCCGTCACGTGGTCCAGGCAGCGCGGCCAATGGAAGGAACTGCTCTGTGAGCTTCTGGAGCTGTTCTGTCCACCAGGGTCCCCAGGCAGCGAGTGTGTGGCCTGCGTGATCACCAGACAGGGCCGTGCCAGAGACGGGGCCGCATGTAGTTCACGGTTCCTCAGCCACCAGCTCAACGTTAATTTCTACGAAGGTCCAGGTATATGGCGACTCAGCCGTAGGCGTTAGCAGGACAAGGTCTCACCCACTGCAGCCGGAAACATGAGGGTGTTGGTGTGAGCTCACCTGAGCTCAAGTGTGTTTAAAAAGGGGCTCAGGCCCGGCCGGCCTGGCTCAGTGGACAGAGCGTCGGCCTGTGGACTGAAGGGTCCGGGGTTCGATTTCCGGTCAAAGGCACACGCCCGGGTTGCGGGCTCCAAACCCAGAAGGGGGTGTGCAGGAGGCAGCCGATCCATGATTCTCTCTCTTCACTGATGTTTCTATCTCTCTCTCTCCCTCCCTCTCCCTTCCCCTCTGGAATCAATAAAAATATAACTTTTAAGAAAAAAACAAAAACATGTTCAGAATTGCAAACAGCAATCTTTCAGAAGTACCTTCAGCGTCCTTAATATCCTCCTATGTAATAAAAGGCTGCTATGCAAATTGACCGAACGGCGGAAGGACCGGTCGCCATGACGCGCACTGACCACCAGGGGGCAGACGCTCAACGTGGTGCACTCCCACAGGGGGAGCGCTGCTCGGCCAGGAGCCAGGCTCACGGCTGGCGAGCACAGCGGCCGCAGCGCTCAGGGCTTCCAGACTGCGAGAGGGCGCAGGCCAGGAACCCCCCCCCCCCCCCACCACCCCAAGTGCACGAATTTCGTGCACCGGGCCTCTAGTTGACTAACGTGACCCCACAAGGTGCAAAGCCCTATGTCCATGGGGCCTGAGGCCTGAACACGGGACGGGCTCCTGCCGTCACCCTCCCTGGGGAACGAACGGAAACAGTCGTCAGGGCCCCGGCGGGTCCTGCCAGGGTGTGTTTGAATAGGCAAGGTAGGCAGACGCCCGCCGGTGCCGGGAGGAGACGGAGGGTGCGTGCCTGCCCTTGGCTCGGCGCCTTTGATTCACGGCGCTGCCTGTCGCATCATGAAATGCACGTTCCGGAGAGCGAAGTCGTAAAGACTTTTAAAAACAGCCCTTCTGTGTTCAAAGGGATTCCCTGTAGGTTTTTTTTTTTTCTTTAAAGCAATGTGTGTGCTGCTTGCATGGGCCCCGCAGCACGTTCACTTCCAGGCATAAGCACGTTTTATCATCGGCCACAGACACACACACGGGCTGCCGGCGGTTGTATCTCTGTCTTCTGATAGAATTATCACAGCCGTCGCTAGGACGATGCCGGCCCTTTTCAAGGGCTTTTTTCCCCCAAAATATATATTTTCTTGATTTCAAAGAGGAAGGGAGAGGGGGAGAGGGAAACATCTATGAAGAGAGGGAATCATGGATCAGCTGCCTCCCGCACGCCCCCCCACTGGGGATGGAGCCCGCAACCCGGGCCTGTGCCCTTGACCGGGAATGGAACCCGGGACCCTTCATTTCCGCAGGCCGACGCTCTATCCACTGAGCCACACCAGCCGGGCCAGAGTTGCATGGTTGGTAATACGATTACCATTTTACAAATGGAAAATTGAGCTTTTTGCATAGGAACGCTGAATAGACGCACTATTTTTTATTTTATTTTTTTTAGAAAGAAACACATCACATCCGTTTTCACACATCTGCTGCCTTTTATTCTCTTGCGACGCAGATATTCTCTCTGGGGGTGACGTCGGCAGAGGCACCCTTCACTCTCCGGCGAGATTATGAAAACGCAGCTGCGGGGCCGGCAGGTTTAGAGGCGTTATTTTTACGAGTCACGTTGATGCCTATGAGATTTTACAAAGGAGTATTCAGTAGGTGTTTGCTATGACTTTGGTGCACCGAAGAATTTCTTAAGGAAATTTAAAAATTGATTTCTTTTTCGAAGAAATACACGGAGTTGTCAAGCAACACCATTTCAGGCTATTTCTTTTTTAAAGATATTTTTATTGATCTCAGAGAGAGGAAGGGAGAGGGGGAGAGAGAGAGAGAGAGAGAGAGAGAGAGAGAGAGAGAGAGAGAGAGAATCATCGCAAAAACACAGCACGGACCAGAATTTGCATGTCCGTGTTTGCGGGATCGCGTGTGCGGTGACGGCCAAGTTCAGCTGTGGATGTGTGTTCTCGGCTCAGGAAGTTCAACGTTAGTCCATTTCTGGCCTCTGTTGTTTGCCGGGCCCTGCAAGGCACACGGTGTCTAAAGCTCATGGTTTCACCCTGGCCGGTGTGGCTCAGTGGCTAGAGCATCGGCCTGCGGACCGAAAGGCCCCGGGTTCGATTCCAGTCAAGGGCACGGGCCTCGGTGGCAGGCTCCTCCCCGGCCTGGGCCCCGGTCGGAGCGCGTGCAGGAGGCGACCCGTCGATGTGTTTCTCTCACATCGATGTTTCTCTCTGTCTCTCCCTCTCTCTCCCACTCTCCCTAAAACTCAATGGGAAAATATCCTCGGGCGAGGATTAAAAATAACCCCATATAATAAAAGCCAAGGGGGCCTCGCGCGCAACGTCATCACAAGATGGCCGCCACGAGGTGGCCGGGAGGGGAGGGCAGTTGGGGGCGACCAGGCTTGCAGGGGAGGGCAGTTGGGGGCGATCTAGCCAGCAGGGGAGGGCAGTTGGGGGCGACCAGGCTTGCAGGGGAGGGCAGATGGGGGCGACCAGGCCTGCACAGGAGGCAGTTGGGGGCAACCAGGCTGGCAGGGGAGGGCAGTTGGGGGTGACAGGGCCTGAAGGGGAGGGCAGTTGGGGGCGATCAGGCCAGCAGAGGAGCAGTTAGGGGGCGATCAGGCTGGCCGGTAGAAGCAGTTAGGAGCCAGCAGTCCCGGATTGTGAGAGGGATCGGGCCTAAGCCGGCAGTCGGACATGCCCCGAGGGGTCCCAGATGGAGGTGGTGCAGGCCGGGCTGAGGGACATCCCCCCGCCCCATGCACAAATTTCATGCACCGGGCCTCTAGTAAAAGAATAAAGCTTGTTGTTGCAAAGGACGTCCGATGCCAGTAAGAGGGAGCACTTGTCCCGGGGACGAGGCAACCGGCTGACTTTCCCTGAACCCCAATGTCGGCCAAACCAGCAGCAGCGGGGGCCAGGGTCCTCCTGTCCGACTGCTCAGATAAGCTGTCGGTTTTGAAAACCATACCAATGACCATAAAAAACACCCCACTTGATAGCCAAACGGCAAGAGACTCTAAAATGTGTAACACGCAGCTTGTGTGCTTGTGGCTCTTGAACACGGGTTCAAGATACGACGGGTTGCTCACCAAACACGTGTTTGGGGAAGCATGAGCCAATTGGATTGTAATTGTATCATTTTAACCAAATCTCACACGATATAATGTTTTAAAAAAACAACCTTATTTTTCACCCGGCCGGCGTGGCTCCGTGGTTAAGCATCAACCTATGAACCCGGAGGTCACGGTTCGATTCCCGGTCAAGGGCACAGGCCCGGGTTGCGGGCTCGACCCCCAGTAAGGGGCGTGCAGGAGGCAGCCGATCCATGATTCTCTCTCATCATTGCTGTTTCTGTCTCTCTCACCCTCTCCCTTCCTGTCTGTGACATCAATAAAAATATGTATTAAAAAAAAAAGAAGAAGAATTGAGAGGCCTTTCCCGTAAAGGTAAGACTTCATCACGCCTATTGCAGAGTGGCTCCAACGCAGACACGTGCAGAGCCACGCCCAGGAGGGGCAGGGAGGCCCCGGTGCACGAAATTTTTGACGTAAATAAAACAAAACAGCACACCTTACTTTTCGCCTGCGAGTGGGCTGCTTTTCATGCGAGATGAGTGCGTTTTTCACAGAATGCCCGTTTACTTTTGTGTCCGATGGAACCGGCAAAGGCGTTTTTGAAAGGACCCCGGAGGTTTCGAAGCTCCGCTGTGTTGAAAGACGTGAGGTGGGGCCGCCTTTGATGTTTGCCAGCCCCTGGCGTTGGCACTGAGCCCCGTCCACACCCCAGACTGGGAGCCAAGCCTCTGGGAATGAAAAAAGGCAGCGTTTGAGGGGAAACAGTGCCACACGCTGGCCGTCCGGGTGCAAAGGGCCCAAAAGGACTGGATTCCCCATCCGTGATCCCCTGTTTTGGGGGCTCAATGGGGTGAGCGAGATGCCCATGCAGATTCCCCGTTCCCGCCAACGACGGGGCTAAACTCTGTGAATCTGAGCACAGAAGGCCCTCGGGTGACCGGGTGACGCCGGAGATCCGCTCTGTAAAAAATCAATAAAATATATTTTTAAAAAACAAGTAAGTAAATAAACTAGAGGCCCTGCGCACGCATTCGTGTGCGAGCAGCCCGCTGCCCCGCCCTCCTGTAGCTCCCCACCACGTGTAGCCGGGACGCCCCTTACTTCATCTTATAAAACGGATATTCTGCCTCCGCGAATGAGACATAACACACAGGCTGGGGAGATGGTTCCGTCTTAGGTCTGCGTCCTTTCTTTTTCAACGAGAGGCCAAGTCGGGCCGCGATGCCTACCAGGATTGATGGCGGTGCGTCTGGATTTTCACACGTGGCTCTTAGCTAATGACACCCGGGAGCCTAACGCCAGCGCACATGTCTATTGAAAGAATATTATGTCGTTTGTCATACCCCCGGCGTCATAGAGACATGCAATTACTCACAGCCCATCACAGGGCATCCCTGCAGATTAAGTCATGAGCCCCAGAACAGGGCCTATTCTTGTTTCTATGACCCGTAACGAAAAAAAAACCAATTAGCCCGGCCGGCGTGGCTCCGTGGTTGAGCACTGACCCATGCACCAGGCGGTCACGGTGCGATTCCCGGCCAGGGCACATGCCCGGGTTGCGGGCTCCATCCCCAAGTAGGGGGCGTGCAGGAGGCAGCCGGTCCGTGATTCTCTCTCATCACTGATGTTTCTCTCTCTCTCTCTCTCCCTCCCTTCCTCTCTGACATCAATAAAAGTATATTTTAGCCCTGACCGGTGTGGCTCAGTGGATAGAGCGTCGGCCTGCGGACTGAAGGGTCCCGGGTTCGATTCCCGGTCATGGACCTTGGTTTCGGGCACATGCCCAGTAGGGGGTGTGCAGGAGGCAGCTGATCGATGCTTCTCTCTGTCCCTCTCCCTTCCTCTCTGTAAAAAATCAATAAAATATATTTTGAAAAAGAGAGAGAGCAATGGTCACGCGGATGCTCTAGGGATGCTTCGTGTGAATATCCATCTTGTGGGTTTAATATACGCGTATAACCCCCGCCCTCTGCAGAGGAGAAGAAGGCGCTTATGCGGGACTCAGCCGTGTCCGAGAAAGGCCAGACCTCAGGGCAGCTGAGCCACTGTTCCGAACTGCACCACCAGGGGGCAGTGTTTCCATCCGCCTCTCGCGCTTACTGCAGCCGGCAGGGCGGCGGTTCTCAACCTGTGGGTCGCGACCCCTTTGGGGGTGGAACGACCCTTTCACAGGGGCCGCCTACGACCGCCGGAAAACCCATCTATAATCACATATTGATTTTGCGATTAGTCACTATGCTTGAATGATGCTCCATGTGTCACCAGGAAAATGCATCCTGCAGGTCAGATATTTCCATGACGATGCAGCGCAGCAGCGACATGACAGTGATGACGTAGCCACGCAAATGATTTTATGGGTGGGGGTCCCCACAGCACGAGGCACTGTATTCAAGGGTCGCGGCGTTAGGGAGGTTGAGAATCGCTGCCGTAGGGCATTACAGTGGGAGCAGGGACTTTATCATTTTTTAAAATATATTTTTATTGATTTCAGAGAGGAAGGCAGAGGAGAGAGAGAGAGAAACATCCATGATGAGAGGGAATCACGGACCGGCCGCCTCCTGCACGCCCCCCACTGGGGACCGAGCCCGCAGCCCGGGCCTGTGCCCTTGACCGGGAATCGAACCCTGACCTCCTGGTTCATAGATCGAGGCTCAACCACTGAGCCACACCGGCCGGGCAATCTTGGTTTTATTGACAAGGACTTTACTTGGGACTCGAGGAATAACACAGCCTTTCACGATTGATTCTCAAGTATTTTAATGGACTTCCCACCCCCCATACTTCCCTGGAGTTAATCGATGCGGCTCCCACGGTCTCCTGCTGTGAACACAGTGGGTCTCCTGCCGTGAACACAGTGGGTCTCCCCCGCCTGTGAAATTCCAAGTGTCTTTTTTTTTTGTGACTTGAACCCCGAAGGCCCAGATGTTAGATGCCTTTGGGAGCGGGGGCATTGGGGGTGACAGCACCGGGTTTGGGAGCGGGGACCTGGCGTTGTAGTCTCTCAGACGCTGCTGCATGCAAGGGCCACCCGCCCGCCTGCTGGCTCTGTGATTTTCGCCCGCCTGCTGGCTCTGTGATTTTCGCCCGCCTCCTCCAGTGAGATTCAATGGCCTGCACCTACTGTTCTGAAACGTTGCAAAAACAAGCCGATCTCTGGGTGATGAGCACACAGTCCCCCCTGAAGGAACGCCCTTTGCTTTTCTTGCCTGCCCACCTCCCCCCGTTTCTGTAAATCCCTTTGCACCCACAGACACAGAACCCCAAGCTCTCACGCTCAGGAACCAAGCACAGGACGGCAATGGTACTCAGCCGACGAGGCTTCCCCATGCCAGCGGAATGACAGGTTCGAGCTGGTGCCTGGCACGCGGGAGGAAAGGCATTTCCCAAGATGCGTGCCGGGAGCAGAAGAGCCTAGCTGTGCCCGAAGTTTAACAAGCGTGACTACGGAAAAGGAATGATATGCACAGGTGTCCTGAGGCTCCGCTAAGGGAAACGCGGTGCCCCCGGGGCAAGAAGGGTGACAGGATTCACTTTCCTAAGAGTATGTGAAGGGCTGAAGCGGTGCATGGAGCCAAGGCGACAATTCTCCGGTGAATGGTGCCGGTGGGGACACTGATTCAGAGGTCAGGCTGTGGTGTGGGTCTGAAGGAGGAGCTAAAATAAGATCAGATCGCCTTTCGCCAATGAAGTGCCCGTCAGCACCTTGTTCTAGTGTTCTGATAGGGGATGGTCATAATAATGGTGGTGGTGATGCTGGTGATGATGATAATGATGATGGTGATGATGGTGATGATGGTGGTGATGATGATGGTGATGGTGGTGATGCTGATGGTGGTGATGGTAATAATGGTGATGATGTTATTGATGATGGTGATGGTAGTGATGATGGTAGTGATGATGGTGATGATGATGATAGTGATGATAATAATGAAGATAGTATTGATGATGGTGTTGATGATGATGATAATGATGGTGTTGGTGATGGTGATGATGATGGTGATGGGATGATGAAGGGGATGGTGATGATGATGATGATAGTGATGGTAATACTTGTGGTGATGATGATGGTGGTGATAATGGTGATGGTGGTGATGATGGTGGTGATGATGGTAATGATGTGATGATGGTAGTGACTGGTGATGGTGATGAACCATGGTGGTGATAGTAATAATGGTGATGGTGGTGATGATGATGATAATGATGGTGTTGGTGATGATGATGGTGATGAGATGATGAAGGGGATGGTGATAGTGATGATGATGATGATAATGATGGTAATACTTGTGGTGATGATGATGGTGGTGATAATGGTGATGATGGTGATGATGGTGGTGATGATGATAATGATGATGTGATGATGGTAGTGACGGTGGTGATGATGATGAACCATGGTGGTGATGGTGGTGATGGTGATGATGGTGATTGTGGTGATGCTGATGGTGGTGATAGTAATAATAGCGATGATGGCATTGATGATGGTGGTGATGATGATGGTGATGATGATGGTGATGATGATGATAGTGATGGTAATAATGGTGATGATGATGATAATGATGGTGTTGATGATGGTGATGGTGATGATGATGATAGTGATGGTAATAATGGTGATGATGGTATTGATGATGGTGATGATGATAATGGTGATGATAATGATGGTGTTGATGATGGTGATGGTGATAATGATGATCATGATAGTGATGGTAATACTTGTGGTGATGACACTTCTAATCTCCTCCTTTAATTTTCACAACTATTCTACAAGGAGTGCACCCTCATCTCCACTGCAGAGACAGGGAATTCTGGCACCTACATGCTGAACGCTGCACAGCTCTGGAAATACTACACGTGCAGGTAAGGAACTTGGCAATTCTTCTTCAGCACCACACTGTGGCCTACCAGGCTACGTTCTCGCTGCCAAATCCTCTTTGCTATCCGAATCCAAACATTTGGAATTTCTCCTTCCATTCCCCCCCCCACAAGAGAATAAACCTTCGCTCGCGCTGTCCCCCCCTGCCCAGGTAGAACTCCCTGAGAGAGAGACACTGGAAAGGCGGGACTCAAAAATGAAAAAGAAGAGGCTGGAAACACGAGTCATCTAACCGTCTGGCTTCTGTTACAGTACGACCCCCTGCTGTAGAGAAATACAGCATCTCCCTTGGACTCAGTGGGTCTGAGCGAGGTTCAGGGCTTGCTTTTCCAAGAAGCTCCCAAGAGATGTTGGTGATGCTTGTCTGCTGGGATGCTTGTCTGCTGGGAGAGCCGAGTGGTCGAGAACACGGGCAGGGCGTGGACAGGCTGCATGGGGTGGACGACGAGGGGAGGGGGAGAGCGGACATCCCTGCTGTGCGGGGAAGGGAGACCCACACTGAGGCATGTGAGCCATGCAGGACGCGGAGGAAAGACCCCAAGCCAGCCCCCGAGGCAGACACGTGTAGACGGAGGGGAACGCCGTGGGCAGGAGCTGACGGGAGACGGTCCGCAGACCCCATCCGGGGGTGTCGGGGTGCCAACCACAGCAGTGAGCCCAGGGCATTCGATGGGGTTCAGGCCGGTTGCCGTAAACACCATGTCAGTTCTGCACAACGCAGCCCGGCTGTCCCTCACCCAGACTGTGGCGGGCGGCGAGAGGCCAGCGGACAAGAGCCGGGGCCTGTCTGTAGGAAAGCAGATTCTGTTGGAGGACTGTGTGCAAAGAACAGAGAGAAGTCAATAAAAACATTGTACAAACCAGCATTTCCTTTCCCGCAGGCAGGCCGGCAAACAGCAGGGCAACGGCTTTCTTGTTGGTTATGGGCTCAATCTCTTAATTACATTTTTTGAAGCCAGCAACGTTCCAGGAAAGAAAGACAAACAAATGGTCCAAGACAAGGTCATTCGTTCTCGAAGGTAACCGTGCCAATAGGCGCGCTGCTCGCGGCAGAAACTAATTATTCTCAAGACAGCTGCGCTCCCCCCACCCGGTAAATTAGGACATCGCCCCCCTAATTAGCCGAAACGGCCTGCAGGAGGTTCCCGCCACTGGGCTAGGCAATATCCCCCAGCAGGAATGTCCCATGCCAGAGGGATGCCAGAGGGAGGGCTTTAACAGGAGGGGGGAGGAGAGGGAGGAGGCGGGAGGGGTGGAGAGAGGGAAGAGGTGAGAAAACAAGTAGGATTGTTAAAAATAAAATAAAATAAAAGCAAACTAAAAAAACAAAAGCAGGATTGGCTCAGCCAGGGTGGCTCAATGGTTGAGCGTCGACCTATGAACCAGGAGGTCACGGTCCAATTCCCGGTCAAGGGCACAGGCCCGGGTGGCGGGCTCAATCCCCAGTGGGGGGCGTGCAGGAGGCAGCCAGTCCATGATTCTCCCTCATCATCGATGTTTCTCTCCCTCCCCCTTCCTCTCCAAAATCAATAAAGATATATATGTTTTTAAAAAAAGAATCCTATATAATAAAAGCCTAATATTAAAATCGACTGAACAGCAGAACGGCCGGTCGCTATGACGCGCACTGACCACCAGGGGCTGCCCCCAGCCTGCAGGCCCCAGGCCATCCAAGGTGGGGGGCTTGTGGGGGGCCCCCGATCGCCCCACCAGTTGTCCCACAGATCAGTCCTGATAGCCAGCCAGGCCTAGGGGCTCTACCTGTGCACAGATTTCGTGCACCAGGCCTCTAGTTAGATATACTCTCTTCCAAATTCCCTTGCGGTTGTGTGTATGTGTGTGTGTGTGTGTGTGTGTGTGTGTACGGTCTTCATGACATGAAAACTAACTGCCCATCAGCTCTGCTCAAATACTCAGTCCGATTTAAGTATTACACGAAGGAAATCAGACTTGTGTGCCGAACGCTGATCAGGAGCTAGAAATGCATTTTTTTTATCCCCCATCAAAGGCCACTCGCAGTAAGAACTCATCAAAGCCCCGGCCAGTGTTGCTCAGTGGTTACAGTGCTGACCTGCACACCGAAGGGTCTCGGGGTTATATTCTCAGTCAAGGGCACAGACCTGGGTTGAAGGTTCACTCCCCCAGCCCCCCGTTGGGGTGGGGTACGCACGGGAGGCAACCAGTCAATGTGTCTCTCTCACACCGACCTCTCTCTCTCTCTCTCTCTCTCTCTCTTTCTCTCTCTCTCTCCCCCCCTTCTTTCTCCCTCCCTCCCACTCTCTGAAAAGCAACAGAAAACAGACATCCTCAGGTGAGAATTAACAACAACAACAAAAACTCATCAAATCCAAGACTCGCTCAAACCAGAGGCATTTCTAAAGACCGACTGTAAACACAAACCCACCTGATGCCGAACGGAACCACACGCTGTGACATGTCCAGGCTAGCACAGCGTGTTGGAAATTGGTTTTCTTGCCCTGACCGGTGTGGCTCGGTGGATGGAGCGTCGGCCTGCGGACTGAAGGGTCCCGGGTTCGATTCCGGTCAAGGGCATGGACCTTGGTTGCGGGCACATCCCCAGGAGAGGGCACCATGGGAAAAGAATACAACAAAAGAATACCCTTGGCCACATGTCACGTGTGTGGAAATATAACCACCCACACGCACGCACACACACACAGGCACACACATGCACCCATGCACACAAGCACACACAGGCACACAAGCACACACAGGCACACACATGCACCCACGCAAACCCATGCACACACAGGCACCCGTGCACACACAGGCACACACATGCACCCACGCAAACCTATGCACACACAGGCACACAGATGCACCCATGTACACACAGGCACCATGCACACACATGCACACACAGGCACACGCAGGTGCCCATGCACACACAGCACACCCATGCACACGCAGGCACCCATGCACACCCATACACACCCATACACACAGGCACCCATGCACACACAGGCACACACAGGCACACAGGCGCCATGCACACCCATGCACACACATGCACACATTGGCACACCCGTGCACCCATGCACACACAGGCACCCATGCACACACAGGCACACACAGGCACAGACAGGCACACAGAGGCACACACATGCAGCCATGCACACACAGACACACAAGGCACCCATGCAACCCGTGCACCCATGCACACACAGGCACCCATGCACACCCATGCACACGTAGGCATCCATGCACACACAGACACGTGCATATGCACCGATGCACACCCATGCACACCCGTGCACTCATGCACACCCATGCACCCATGCACACACAGGCACGTGCATATGCACCCATGCACACACAGGCACGTGCATATGCACCCATGCACACCATGCACACCCATGCACCCATGCACACACAGGCACGTGCATATGCACCCATGCACACCATGCACACCCATGCACTCATGCACACCCATGCACCCATGCACACAGGCACGTGCATATGCACCCATGCACACACAGGCACGTGCATATGCACACGCCCGCACCAGTTTAAGCAGCAAGTCTCTGAGGCATGAATGAGCTGCTGGCGTTGTCAGGGGCAGCCTCCCAGGGGGAGGTCACTGTTTAGAACTGTGGGCTCCACACAGCGCGACTTTGCACCGGGGCCACCCGTGTTCATCGCGCTCCTCCCCCCTGACTCAGACCCAGCCAGAGGAAGTCGTGGGCACTGCCTCCCCCTGTTATGCTTCCCCCACCCGCTCACCACATCCACACATCACCCCCGCCTCAGGCATCCTCGCGGCTGCTGACGGACACAGGTCCAGTCTGTTCTGCTTGAGAGGAAGCTAGAAAGGCGTGCAGCAAATAACACACTGGGGGGTAGGGGAGGCCAGGGGATTCTCAAGGGCGGGGGGGAAAAAAGAGGAGACATATATAATACTCTTTGTAATACTTTAAGCAAAAAAATAAAATTAAAAAAAAAAAAAAACACGGAAAAAACGGTCAAATAAGAGCAGGTCAGCCCGCCATACGAACCAGGAGGTCACGGCTCGATTCCTGGTGAAGGCACATGCCCAGCCCTAGCTGGTGTGGCTCAGCGATAGAGCGTCGGCCTGCAGACTGAAGGGTCCCGGGTTCGATTCCGGTCAAGGGCACATGCCTGGGTTGCAGGATCCATCCCCAGTGGGGGGCGTTCAGGAGGCAGTCGATCCATGATTCTCTCTCATCATGGATGTTTCTCTCTCTCTCTCCCTCTCCCTTCCTCTCTGAAAGCAATAAAAATATATTTACATTTTTTAAAAAATAAAATAAAATACAGAAATAAAACCAGGTCAGCCCAGAGAGCAGTGGCCAGGGCCCTCCCTGCCCCTCCCCCTCCACATCGGGCCCAGGCCCTCTCCTGGCAGGTAGGCAGGTCGGAGGGGCAGCCCACACGGTGGCCCTATCCCTGCCTGTAGGCCAGGAGCCGCCCGCGGGCTGGGAGCAACGCACAGTTCATTACCAGCTGCCGGGACGCCTGGCAGGGTCCAGCTCTCACAACAAACGGCCTTTCTCCTCTGCACTGAGCCTGCGCCCTGATGGGGATGTCTCCCCCAAACATCACAGGCCCCCCAGAAGGGATTCGCATGAGGCAGGGTGCCTCCGGGGCCAGCTAGCGAGGCCTCAGCAGGGTGCCTCCGGGGCCAGCTAGCGGGGCCTCAGCAGGGTGCCTCCGGGGCCAGCTAGCGGGGCCTCAGTGCAGCAGCAACTGGCAGCAATCAGGACAGATTAGCCCATCAGCGAAACCTAATTGTCGAGTCAAAAGTTGAAAATGGAGAGATTTTCCCCGTTTACTGGTGTGGTTTTAACCCGATGGGACAACCGCGAGAGATTTCTACCCAGCGGGCCCGACGCCTGACTCCATCATTCCGTGAACAGAGTCCTGTAGATTTTAACACCTTTTTGCCCCGCCTTTTCAGAAGAAGATAAACGCGAGAGACGCTCACTAGGGGTTAATACGACATGGGGGTTTTTTAAATCGGGGTGCCGGATAGCGGTTCCCACCCTCCCCCCACCCCAGGCTGCCTCTACCCGTGGCTGCCGTGAGGGGTGGCGTTGGTCCCAGACTTTGTGGGAGTCGACGGCGTCGTTTTCAGGTTCTCGACCGAGGAAGGTGCTCCCTGCCGACGGGAAGGGGGGGTGCAGGAAGCGGGCCCAGCCGGACGCCCCGGGGTCACCATCTTGAACCAGAAATGGAACTGGGACCAGAACCGGAAGTCAACAGGGCACAGGCCAGGCCGAGGGACCCCACTGGTGCACCATGGGGGCCAGGAGGGATGCAGGAGGTTGGCCAGCGGGAGAGGGACCCCGGGAGGGCTCCAGGCTGCATCCGGCCCTTCTCGCTCAGTCCCGATCAGCTGGACCCCAGCAGCAAGCTAACCTACCGGTTGGAGCATCTGCCCCCTGGTGGTCAGTGCACGTCATAGCAAGCGGTTGAGCAGCCTTAGCATATCATTAGCATATTACGCTCTGATTGGTTGAATGGCCCACCAGACAACCGGACACTTAGCATATTAGGCTTTTATTATATTGGACGTCTATACTATGACCCTGCGAAACCAGTGCCTCTTACCTTCCACCCTCTCAAGGAATCAATACAAAAAATACCCTCAGGTGAGGATTAACGAAAAAAGCATTTACGGTTTGTTCCTTCTTTCTTATTTTTCTCTCTCTGGAACACCTACTGTTTACATACCAGGCGGGGTCCCTCGGGCTGGCCTGTGGGGATCTGGCCGACACCAGCTCTCCGACATCCCCCAGGGGGCCCCGGATTGCGAGAGGGTGGTTCTTGGGTGACACACCCCAGAATCAGGCTCCCTCCTCTCTGGTTCTGGGTGTATCACCCGAGAACCGCAGCTGCCAAGTCTCCGCAGCTTGGCCGCTCCTGCGTTGAGTGTCTGCCCCCTGGTGGTCATTGCGTGTCCTAGCTACCTGATGGTCGGACGGTCGGATGGTCAGACGGTCACTTAGGCTTTTATATATATAGACTAGAGGCCCGGTGCACAAAATCTGTGCAAGGGGCTCAACCCTTGCAGCTGCAAATGGCTTGCCTGGCAGCCCCGGCTTCGTCCGGAAGGTCGTCCGGAAGGACGTCCGGTCTAATTAGCATGTTACGCTCTTATTGTTACAGAGTGGACCTCGTGGAATGTTCCTCTAATTTTCTCCTCCGGTCTCTCCCATGGCCCCTCTCCTTGTCTTTTCTTCTCCCCTTTCTGTAGACCGCCTTCATTTCATCTTCCGTAGTAAGCTCGTTCTGCACTTACCCGTACCCCCTCGGCAAGGGTGCGTGTTACACGAGGCCAAGATTGATCATCCACACTGAGGCCGAGGGGGGTGGAGGTGACTCAACAGCCAATGTTGGCCAACGTCTGGGCAGGTAGGATGGGGTCAGAGTACCGCTTGGTGAGAAGTATTCCCCCCCACGCTAGAGCGTCCGATTGCCTGTGCGAGGCCTTCCAACGCTATTCCTTCTTCCTGGCAGGGCAACCGGCAGTGTTCCAGAATGTTCCAGAGCGTTCCAGAACACTCCAGAACGGGACTGCCCCGTCCGCCAAGGAGGACCAGGGCTTTCTCCATGACCCACAACAGACACGACCCATACGTGAGACGTGAAGTTACCGTGTTCAGCTGCTGGGATGTTGGGTTTCTCGGTTTCTGCCGCCGAGCCTAGCTGAGCCTCACCATTGGAACTTGCAGCCCATTTTACAGATGACAAAACTGAGGCAGACCTTCAGTCACACAGACAGAAAGTGACGGAAGCAGCATTAGAATCCAAGCAGTCGGCCTGCAGAGTCTCTGCTCTTATTGCTTTTTCTACTTCTTGATTTTGTTTGTTTTGCCTTGTTAATCCTCACCTGAGGGTATTTTTCCATTGATTTCTACAGAGAGAGGAAGGGAGGGGGAGGGACAGGGAGAGAAGCACATCAATTGGTTGCACGTGCCCTGACCCGGGCCCGGGATCACCGAGGGCCATGCCCTTGGCCGGGCTTGAACCCGGGACCCTGCAGTCCACGCGCCGACGCTCTACCCACTGAGCCACACCAGCCAGGGCTGCGCTTTTACTTCTCAGCCGCCTCTCTGGTCAGGACGCGTCCAGGGGAGCGTGGCACGCGCGGGAGAGACCCAACGGCGGTGGGTTCTGGGGCGAAAGTGTGAATTTCCTGCAACACGGGGACTAAATTGGACACGAAGGGTGGGGGTTCCCGCTGGAATCCCGGCCAGAAAGACGAAGAACGTGAGCAGAAGGCTCTGTGGGTGCAGCCAAGAGACAGGAACACAGAACAGCAAGTCGGGGTGCCTAAATTTATTCTTAATGGATGTGTCCGTTAGAAACGATCCCTATACACAAAACTACGGCTTGACTATCAGCCGAGAAATCGAAGCTGCACCCGTTTTCCCCGCTTGTCCCCCGCATCTCAGGGCTGCTTTTCGTAAAATGAAACAGGACGCGCTTCTGCGGGTGATTGACGATCTGCCCCTAGCACAGTCTAACTCGGGCTATTTTCGGAGGGCCCGGCGGAAAAATTGCTCCCGTGTCTATAAAAAGCGAGTGTATTTTGAGAAGTAGAAGATGAGAAACAAGAAGAAAAAGATGTGTGTTTTTTTAAAAAAAAATGCCGCTGCCCGTCCGGTGGGAGCCGGAGCCGAGAATCTCGTGTCCCTGAGAACACCATTCCCTCTGACGCTATTAGAAAAGGAAGAACCTAGATCAGAATCAGCCTGCGGCAAACGGAGCCTGGACCGGACTCCGTCCCCCAAAAATAACTCATTAAAAATATCATCTCACATGTGCATCTCATTTTGGCTCCTCAACGACAGACGCTGCCCGGCCGGGGTGGCTCAGTGGTTGAGCATCGACCTGTGAACCAGGAGGTCAGGGTTCGAGTCCCGGTCCAGGGCACAGGCCCGGGTTGCGGGCTCCATCCCCCGTGGGGGGCGTGCGGGAGGCGGCCGATCCGTGATTCCCCCTCATCATGGATGTTTCTCTCTCTCTCTCCCTCTCCCGTCCATTCTGAAATCAATAAAAACATATTTTTTAAAAAAACATAAAGTAATTTATAAAAATATTTAATGGGGAAAATGTCCTCGGGTGAGGATGAAAAAAAAGAAGCAGCAGCAGCTAGATGTTGAAGACAAAGGCATACATACCCAGACAGAGGTGGAAGGAATTGCTGTGCATAAAAGCACCAGAAGACATCACAGCCCTGGCCGGTGTGGTTCAGTGGATAGCGCGTCAGCTTGCGGACTGAAGGGTCCCGGGTTCGATTCGGGTCTTGGTTGCGGGCACATCCCCAGTGGGGGGCGTGCAGGAGGCGGCTGATCCATGTTTCTCTCTCATCGATGTTTCTGACTCTCGATCCCTCTCCCTTCCTCTCTGTAAAAAATCAATAAAATATATTTTTTAAAAAATTAATTTTCCTTTTTTTCTTAAATCCTCACCTGAGGATATTTTTTTATTTTATTGATTTTTAGAGAGAGAAAGACAGAAACATCATTCAGCTGCCCACTGTGTGAGCCCCGGCCGGGAATCGAACCCGCAACCTGGGCACGGGCCCTGACCGGGAACCAAACCCACCAGCTTTCCCCGGATGAGGCGATGCTCCAACCAGCGGAGCCACCCAGCCAGGGCGTTCCCTGCTCCAGGAGAACTCGAGTGTGAAGCACTCGGGCCCAGACACTGAGCTATTTTCCAAGAATGTCAAGTATGTGGTCCCTCGCAGACAGAGAATGAGCGAGGGCTGCAGGGTGCCTGCTATGCTTGGCGTCTCAGACGCGTTAAATACAGTGGATTTGCGACTAATCCGGGCGGACGGGCGTGCCGTTACCATGACGGCGTCCGATGTGTGAGGCACGCGAGCCGTGACCACGGTGATGCCACACGTGAGAGGCACTGGAATGTCTTCGATCCCGGTAACCGGCGAGGTAGGGGTGGTTACGCACCAGTATTGGAGAGCCATCCCTGACCACCAGGGCTCAGCGCCTGCTTTGAGCACTGCCCCCCGGTGGTCAGTGCCCAGCATAGCGAGCGGTTGAGCGGCCTTAGCATATCATTAGCATATTACGCTTTGATTGGATGAATGGCCAACCAGACGACCAGATAGCATATTAGGCTTTTATTATAGAGGATTTTTTAAAAAATATATATTTTATTGATTTTTCACAGAGAGGAAGGGAGAGGGATAGAGAGAAATATAGATGGGAGAGAAACATCGATCAGCTGCCTCCTGCACGCCCCCTACTGGGGATGTGCCCGCAACCAAAGTACATGCCCTTGGCCGGAATCGAACCCGGGACCTATCAGCCTGCAGGCTGAAGCTCTATCCACTGAGCCACACCGGTTAGGGCTATAGGATTTTTTATTGATTGCAAAGAGGAAGCAAGAGGGAGAGAGAGACAGAAACATCAATAATGAGAGAGAATCATGGGTCGGCTGCCTCCTGCACGCCCCCATGCCTGGGTTGGGGGCTCCGTCCCCAGTGTGGGGTGTGCAGGAGGCGGCCGATCCGTGATTCTTGTCATCGGTGTTTCTCTCTCTCCCTCTCCCTTCCTCTCTGAAAAAAAAAAAAAAGTTTAAAAATAAATAAATAAAATAAAATAAGTTGATGGCCCGAGCCTGTTTGGCTCAGTAGATAGAGTGTCTGCCTGAGGACTGAAGGGTCCCGGGTTTGAGTCCCACTCAAGGCCACGTACCTCACTTGCAGGCTCGAGGCACCCCGGGGTTCAGGCGGGAGGCAACCAATCGAAGTGTCTCTCTCCCACGAACATTTCTCTGTCTCTCTGTCTCCTCCCCACCCGCCCTTCCACGCTCTCTAAATAGCAATGAAAAAAAATAAAAAAATAAAATGATACACCTGCCAATTAAAAAGCAAATTTGATGACAACCCTTGCCTGACCTTGTACATGAGAGAAACGCAGGGGAGCCCTGGCTGGTGTTGCTCAGTGGGTAGAGCGCCGGCCTGGGGACTGCAGGGTTCCGGGTTTGATTCTGGTCAAGGGCCACATGCCAGGGGACAAGGTCGCCTGGGCGGGAAGGCGAGGGGGAGCCGTGATGGCGAGTTTTCCTCCGTGACCCGAAATTCCAGAGCCTGGGCCCCTCCTAGGGCCTCGGAGAAGGTCCCTCCTTCCCTTTCATCTTCCGCTGTGACGGGTGCCCCATGGACACCAAAGTGCCTTCCAGATACACACGTCTTCATGAGCGAGTGGCCCGGTGCACGAAATCTGTGCACAGTAAAAGGGAATTAATCAGAGGGGGCGGGGACACAGTCTGCTGATTGGTCAGTATGTGACGCCAATTTGCATATCGTCCTATTATTAGTTAGGTCATAGAAAAGGAACCACCAGCGCCCTGGCTGGTGCGGTTCAGTGGTTAGAGCGCCAGCCCGCGCACCAAAGGGTTGAGGGACTGGGGGTGGGGGGTGGCAGGGAGCTGCAGGGGGGCTCGCAGCTTGGCTTGCTCTCGCGAGGGCCTGGCGGGTGCTGAAGAGCAGGGCCCGCAGTAACGTGAACTCACTCACTCCATGGTGCGACTTCCCTTCAGTGGCCAGCAGCAGGTTGGATGGGGGAAAAGGGCGGCAGATGGCGGCTGATGCAAGACCGGGCTTCCGGGCCCCGCGGGCGTGGCTCAGGGGTTGAGCATCGACCTAGGAACCAGGAGGTGAGGGTTCGAGTCGCGGTCACGGTTCAAGTCCCGGTCAGGGCACAGGCCCGGTCAATTCCTGATCAGGGGCACATGCCCGGGTTGCAGGCTCGATCCCCAGTGCGGGGTGTGCAGGAGGCAGCCGATCCATGATTCTCTCTCATCACTGATGTGTAATCACTATTCTCTCTCATCACAGACTCTGCTGACCGTGAGCCGCCAGCCAGGGGGCCATGATCACTGCCAGCAAGAACGGCTCCTGGCCCTGGCCGGTGTGGCTCAGTGGACAGAGCGTCGGCCGGCGGACTGAAGGGTCCCGGGTTCGATTCCCGGTCAGGGCACATGCCCGGGTGCGGGCTCCATCCCCAGGAGGGGGGTGTCTGGGAGGTAAAGGATCGATGTTTCTCTCTAAAACAGCGGTTCTCAACCTGTGGGTCGCGACCCCTTTGGGGGTCGAACGACCCTTTCACAGGGGTCGCCTAAGACCGTCGGAAAACACATAGATCATTACATATTGATTTTGCGATGAATCACTATGCTTTCATTATGTCCAATTTGTAACCATGAAATTGGGGGTCACCACCACATGAGGAACTGCATTAAAGGGGCCGCGGCACCAGGAAGGCTGAGAACCACTGCTCTTAAATATCAATAAAAGCGTATCCTCAGGTGAGGGTCAGACTAAATAAATAAGCCCAGACGGTGTGGCTCAGTGGTTGGGCATCGACCTAGGAACCAGGAGGTCACAGCTCGGTGCCCCCGGGTTTGGGGCTCGATCCCCAGTGGGGGGCGTGCAGGAGGCAGCGGGTCCATGATTCTCTCTCATCATTGATGTTTCTCTCTCTCTCCCTCTCCCTTCCTCTCTGGAATCAATTTTTAAAATGTGTATTAAAATGACGTCATGGGGGGTGTCCTCGACCTTCCAGACCGTTTTTAAGTCGCGTGTGCACAGAGCGGCGTGGAAAGGCTGCAGGTACCTCCCAAGAGAGAGGAAACGGCAGGATACAGTCCGCAGAGCTCAGGGCATGAGCTTCTAGAAGCAGCTGGTGCAGCTGGGGGTGGGTTCTGCTTATTGGGGGGCGGGCAGGGGGGGTGGCCTTGGCGTTGGTTGTTTTGCCGCCTTTGCTTTGGGGCCGGAGGGAGGGGGCGGGGCACACGAGGGGCCCCGGTGAACCGGGTGTTGGGGAAATCCCTCGCAGAAACGGGGTGCAGGGCTTGCAGACGTGGGGTGAGCAGCTCCGGGTGCCTCTGGGGCCGGCCAGGCAGCTGGGCCTGGGGACACCCGGCCTCCGCCTCAGACCGACCCCCGCTGGACCCGCGGGCCGGGGACCGGTGGTTGTGTGTGTTTTTAATGGTTTTTACATGTTTTTTGAAGCACCGCTTCCTGTTATGCTGCAGGAAGGCTGGGCCGATGCGTGACGGAGCAGGTTTCTTTTGTAGCGAACCCCACAGTCAGCGAGCTAGGAGCCCCCGCGTCCCCTCCCCGAAGCCGCCGGGGGCTCCCCAGGTCGGATCTGCACGCGGCGCGGGCTCCCCAGGTCCGATAGCACGCGGCGCGGGCTCCCCAGGTCCGATAGCACGCGGCGGGGGCTCCCCAGATCCGATCTGCACGCGGCGCGGGCTCCCCAGATCCGATAGCACGCGGCGGGGGCTCCCCAAATCCGATCTGCACGCGGCGGGGGCTCCCCAGGTCCGATCTGCACGCGGCGCGGGCTCCCCAGGTCCGATCTGCACGCGGCGCGTCTCCACGCGGCGGCTCTGGCAGAAAAGGGAACTGTACATGCACGCAGTCCGGCTAAAAAAACCAAAAAGTGGCAATGGCATCTCGGGGAGGGTTGGGTGGAGCCCAAACACACGTTCCCCGCCCCCCTCCCCCGCGTGCACAACCTCCCTTCCCCCTCCTCCGCCCATCCCCCTTCTCTGCCCTCCCCCTCCTCCTCCACTTTCCATCCCCCTCCCACTATCTCCAACCCCCCTCCCCTCCCCCATCCCCTCCCCCTTTCGGCTCCCATCCCCCTCTCTCCTCCTCTCCTCCCCCTCCCCCTTTCAGCTCCCTCCCCTCCCCCTCCCACTCGCGCCCTTCCCCTTTCTACCCGCCCCGCCCCCTCCCCTCCCCCCTTCCCGCCGCAGCCACAAGCTCCTCCCCCTCCTCCCTGCTCCCCTCCCCCCTCCCCCAGTCCGGCTCGGAGGACCCCTCCACGCGGGGGCGGAGGGGGCGTGGCCTGGAGTCACGTGTCCCCTGGTGGGGCGTGGTCTGGGGAGCCCCCCCTGGCCTGGGGGGGCGGGGGCGCGGCGGCTGCGGAACCTGTT